ATCACTCGAGGTTGACGGACATTGCTCGAAAACGAAGCCGAAATTCAAAAATTCCTCTGATAGATCTCTTAAGATGTCTCTCAAGAAGCTTCGTGTGGATTTTCATGGGAATCCGTTCGCTATCCTTGGAGCCTATCGTTTTTTGCTGTGGTCCATTTTAAAATTGTGGCCATTTCTGTCCTACCGGGTCGATTTCCATGGTTCATTGGTCTCAAATACCGGATTTTTTTGTTCCTATCACATAGAGATATGAGAGCGAAAAAACAGAATCCGAAAACGGAAATTTTCTCAGTTATGGCGCCATGGCGTCTCGATAACGACAGTTACATGCATGTATTTATTTTTTCCATTTAGAGCGATATCTTCCAAGGAGAATGGCATGCATTTGACGTTTCTGCGACCAATGGTTGGGGAGATACACATTTTCAAAGAGATGCATGTTAATTGTGACCTTTGACCTCAAATCATGGCCCTGGGCGTGACCGCAGAGAGTCAGCAATCGGCTCGAAGGCCCTTTCTTGAGGTCCCTTACAACAATTATAAAGCGGAATTACGATCCAGGGGGGTCGATTTTCATCTTCCCATAGTACCTTAAGAGCGAGACAGCGACTTATTTTGTATTCTGAAGGATTCCTTGCACTAGCAAAGAGAAAAATAAAAAGGTTGGATGGGTCCCAGCTGGCCGGACGAGCCTTATCAGGTGGCCCATCCATCTTCTATTCCTCTCCAGGCGGCTGAGTGTCAGTTGTCAACGTCTGGTGTGGTTTGGTGGGAGGGGGTTGCTTTGACTGATGGACTACCGAGGGATGAATAGGCATATTCCTCTGTTTGTGGATATCTTCGTGATGACTCCTTTCCTCTTTTTTTTTGCTCCAGCTCTGGCTTGACAAGGGCTTCTTGCAATGGATTTAAGGATGATCTAGGTGTTGCTTTTGGAGACCGAAGAAGGGGTAATCACTCCCCGTGTAACTTCCCTGTTCTGCACTCCTTCATGGTAGACGTTGACGCTTCTTTCGGTTTCTTTTCATTGGAGACGTATACGCAGCATCGATTCTCGTAGCATCAAACCACGTAGCGCCAAAAACTCGTACGGTAAAACACCACCGAGCGATAATTTTTTCTCCGCAATCTGACCAGCGAGATATGTAAATTCACAGAAATTCCAATATTGAAGTTATTTGAGAGAAAATTTTCATCATGACAGGTACTATATGCTCCTGTCGAAAGGTGTAAAAATCTTTCACTAGCCCCAACCCTTTCTGACAATATCGTTTGTTTTTTACGTTGCTTTTGCTGGGAGATTGTGTAATCGCAGAGCGACGAAGAGTTTCGCCGATCGATGTTATGGAATCGTGGAACGACATGTACGAGTCGGCTTCATGGAACGACGATGCAAATGGATAAATGAATATGGTCCCGGTTTATTCTTCTCGAGAATTACTGGGTAGGTTCTTTAAGTCATACAGGGTGTCCATAAAGAGACTACCCATGGCGAATTTTTTATTATAGACCCTGAAGTAGCCTTTTTTTTTAAGCTTTTGTCGACTGACAACGTATCGACTTCGGAATAGTGTCAGATCTTTCCTCCTTCCACTTTGGTGTGTCCCAAAATTCATTTCCCACATCCAGTGTTTCATAATTTTTGTATTCATTTGAATGGAAAAGAAAGTCATACATCAATTCGAGGAGAATGTCGCGGTTCGACCTTATTGCAACAACTTATTGCAGTTATCTCAGTATTGATTAAATAATAGAGCGTTATAGAAATTCAGAATCATAAAAATTAGACATTTACTCGACTAATTGGCTCAATGTGTCGGCCGCCGATTTCCAGACATTTCTGAGCCCTTTCAATTGCGTTGTCGACAACATCCATGAGAATTCCGTCACTTTTCGGGACACATGGCGAGAGAGAAACTCTCTTTCAAGTTGTTCAGTTCTGTGGGCTTGTCCTTGTAAACAATGCCTTTTAAGTAGCCCAGAGAAAGAAAGTCACGAGGGGTAAAAATTCGGAGATCATGGAGGCTACTTGCCCTTGCTGACGATTCGGAGTACTACTCTCCAAATGTTTTACATTTGTAATTGAAACAACGGGGTGTTAAATGAATTTTCAGTCCCAATTAGGGTGTAGGAACAAAAGTTGTGACACCATTCCGACGTTTATTGTTAAACAGCCTGCAAAAATAAAAAGAGATTGTGTTTGGAAAAAGCTGTCCACAAGTAGTCACTTCATGGACACCCTGTGCTTTGCGATCTTTAATGCGAATATAACGGTTCCTAATGGTTAAATCATAACGTTAGCGATCGTACTCGTAGCGGTTACAAATATTAAGAATTTCTGATTATCGACTGGTCTGAGTCTTTATTCGTGTGGCCTATTTGAAGGACACGCATGTGGGACACAAGATATAGAGATCGTCTATGTCCTCGTTAGCTACGTTCCGAAACGCAATCCCCGTGCATCTTTTGTACGACCAGCCGTCACGAGCTTCCGGATCACGATTTCCTTGGAATGGAAGGAAGCAGATTTGGGTTTCGTGTGAATTGCATTGAGAGTGGTTCGAGGAATCCCATATTACATTGGTGCTTCTGTGATTGTCATCTTTCACGCACTATCCAGCACCATCCACCTTAGTTCGAAATTCTAGATATTCTCATCCTTGAATCTCAAAATTCCCTGCGATGGAAAGATAACGAAGAGCACGATACGATCTCTTAATGAATGAAACTGCAGCAATTGTCTATAATAGCGACAGCATAGATTTTTAAAGGCCACGAAAGACACGTCAGATTGTGCGTCTTTCGCAGAGAAAAATGAGGTGGATCGTGAAATCGGTAACGGATAAACGAAGTGGGGGTCGACCCACGATGCACAGGCTCATGAAGCGAAAACTTCATATCGCACCGCGATTCTCTCTCCATCTATGGAATCGTCGGGCGACATCCCTCTGTGTTCGTTTCCAGAAGCTGTAATTGCTTCTCCCTTGTTCAAAACTGAAGTTTAGAGTTATCTTAAGGTCATATCCAAAAATTGTTGGTCCAAGATCCGCGAATAACAAATGACGCACCTCGTCTGGCACCACTTCATTAGCCGTAATTCGATATCATTTTGGAAGAAGTGCACATTCTACGATAAATCGTGCTCATATTTCTTTTACAAAAGGAGGGGCAAGATCAGCATCACAGAGGCTGAATCACAAGATGAACTTTTGTTAGTCACGTCTAGAATATTCTCCAAGTCACGTCTCCTGACTCGCTACGCTTTCTTTTCACCGCATCGCACGACGATCCCAAACTCTTAAATGTAGCTCGGTGATGCTTTACCCTAGCATGGAAAACGCGTAGCATCAAAAACAGGCAGAGTCGAAAGCACGTAAGGTCGAAAAAAAATCACCTAATTGGCCGTGATTTGCTCTCGATCACGTAAGACAGAATCTCGTAGTTCCATATCATGTTAGATCAATCGTCAAAAGTAGGAGAAAACTACGAAACTCGAACTACTTTTCCGTCCAATCCAGCGTTTCTCGCAGCCCGTAATGGCCAGCCCCGGGGGGACGACCATTTCGTTTCGTCCCTCTCTGAAGCTACCTGTTTTCAAGGGTCAAGTTATGGTAGGAATAAATCCCCAGTGACGGAAAGTGGGTGCGCATGGCCCCTCGAAATGGGACATGCCATAATCGTACGTGCTGCATCTTGAGTCGAACGGCTACGCTCCGAGTCGAATGGATGCGCTCCGTGACTCGAACGCGGAATTTCTCCTTTTCACTCCGTAATCTCTACAGCCAACCGGAACTGTTCGCACATTCTGCCACCCCTTTTTGTTTCCGTAAGAGAAAAGCAAACATACGAGGAATCAAAGGATTCTTTTTTTTCCTGGAATATGAATATGGCTTTGAATGTATGTATCACTTTGATGCCTGGTAAGCATCCCTATTACCCTACATTGATACATATATGTTGATTGTGCCAACTTTTGCAGCTAATTTTCCTACCAATTTGCTTATAGACTTAATTAGACCTGCAACAGATGTAAAATGTCTTCCCTGTTTATGTGGAGTCAAAATCTGAGGAATTCACCCAGTTGGGCCCATTTTACTCTTTGGTTAACTATCAATTGATGTGAACAAAATATCACAACCAACAAAGAAATAAACATTTTTATAGTGCGCCTTTATCCCTCATATTACCTTGAAAAGTATGCTTCTTTCTTTATGCCCTCACCCTCTAAAATTTCAGTTCAGGATTGTCTACATCTGCAGATGTTAGCCATTGTCAGTCTTAGGTATTCGACATCGTCTCTGCTATCTGCCTGTCTTTTTTTTGGGTCAGAACTGTGTATCATTTAATATATCAAGCCTTTAGATACAGAAGTTTAGAAAACTTTATATCAGCTTTTGGATACTTCACTCAGATGCAGACGAGCCATGATAGCTGAACTTTTTGGTGAAGCATGGGACAAGGACAAGGCTTGCAATGAGATGTGTGATCACTGTGACAAGGATATGAACTGCAAGGAAATGGACATCACCAACCACTTTCTCAGTCTATGCACCGTGTTTGAAGTGGCTGCCAGCAGGAAGATAAGACTCACAGGTGAGTTTCTCAATGCCTTATTAACCCTTGTAATGCTGTTGTGACAGCATCTGTCACATGGAGAAAACCTTCAAGAAGTATAATTCTGCATTACAAGGGTTAACTTGGGATTCTTTTGGAAATGGAATGGAAGGGATGTTGCTAAATTACTTATAACATTAAGGCAGGGCCATGATGACTATCCCAGGACCACCCTAGGATAGCATCTCAGTCAAAACAAAGCTTTTATGGCAAGGGCTCATTAGCAAAACTCATTAGTTATTTCCACCCAGATTGCCATCAGGTACATTAGGACGAGGGACATTTACCTTTGATGGAGGTTCTTGTCTGCCAATGTCACAGGTATCCTGACTTTGCCAGTGATAAGTAAAATTGCTTTTACTCCTCATAAAAAAAGGACAAAAAGATCTCAAACATCAAAGTATCCAGACCTGTATTTTGAGTTAATCAACATAGACTACGGACAAACAGAACAATCCATGTGTATGTAATTTTACATGGTATTTTACTGACAGGGTGCAAATTCTGATTGCTATTATACTAATACTGTCGCAAGATGTCCTGGTTTTACCAGAACAGTTCTGGTTTTTCAGACAAAAAATATTGAAATAGATTTATATTTAAAATATAAATATATTTTAATATAAATATTGAAATAGATATATTCTCATTTAAAAGTAACTTGGATGCATTTTTGTTGTGAAATGAATTCCTTTCAACGTATTATTTACAATTCTTCAGAATTGAAAATTAAGTACCTTCCTTCTGTTTTGACCCATTTTAATAACAGGTAACAGCAGAATATCTCAAATTCAAAGTACAAAATATCCATGTCCATTGATGTTTAGTGCATTAGCCTCAGAATATTGTGGACATTTTTATTCATTTTCAAGAGATGCATGTTCCAATCTCTGTATGCCTCAACCAACATAATAACTGCATTCCCTTGAAAATGCCATTCAAGGTTAGGTATATTTAACAGGTTGCACCAGCTTTTATATACTCTCCCTTCAAAATAAGGTTCCTATTGGGTGTATCCAGAGGAAGTTTTGGAGATTCAACTTCCCAATTATGAATGTCACTCTCTCTCTCTTTTCTGACCCTGTTTTGTTACTGTCTGCCTCAGAGGGGAAAAAGTTCTTCTGCTTCCCAGTAACCATGGTTTACCTTCCCAGTTTCCCAGTCATTGATATTGCTTCTCCCTTCCTTGGCTTCCCAATCAGTCGTTACCCTCCCCGGTAACCTGGTTACCAGTTTACAGAACTTTTTCCACCTCTGGTTTGCCTTTCCATTTCAGTGAATTTTGTATTAATCTCCCCTTGAGACATAGAACAAGGGGGAACTTACAGGCCCTATATGTAACATAGGAAGCTTACTCTCTCCTTCCTCCTCCTCCTCCCCATCCTCACCCTCTCAGATTTACCCTACTGCTATGGAAGATGGCAGTGTGCTGGCCACATCTGGTTTGCCCCAATAAAATCTGACAAAAATGTGGGATGACATAGTGGCAGAAATCTTATTTATAGGACAATATTTGAACTCCATATTTGGCATGGCTACTCCTAGAAAGTACTGTGAGAGGTTTTCTAAATGTCATCTTTGTGTCTCATGAAATAAAGGAAAGACAAGAGGGGAAACAGAAAATATTGAGAGTTGTTGCAACTAGTGGTAGACCGATATTGGATTTTACTGATTTCAATATTGGTTGATATATGAAGCCATTACCCCTATAGCACCCCAATATTAGATCAATATTGACTGCCAAGGAATATACATAATGGCCTGGTATTGCCATCTGTCTTGGACCATTATTGGGATTACTACCCAGAAAAACATTAGGGCAATATTTTCCATAAATTCTTTATCCAGTGGAGGCATTTCTACATGCATTACAAGTACAGCCTGTACCATAACAACCCCTTGCCCATGCACATGTCTGTCCCATGGATGGGCAGGAGACATAGAACAGTACAGAGGTTGATCTTCCCCTGAATGTACTAATTGTAGGAGAAGGTCCACTGCTTACTGTCCTATGGAATATCTGCAAATTCAGTCCCTTGTTTCCTTGTTATGTCCTCAGGATGCAGGGACAGAGGATTGAGCCACATATATTTTTCTTGTTTTAATACTCCTTTCAGATAGGGTAATACTGTCTTTAGGAGTTTAATTAAAGAGTAAGGAACAAGGTGGCCTTATTGAGAAAGCAACCTGAATTTATTTAGGTTAGTATCAGTGTTTTGAGGCACTTAATGCTTAGGTCCACCTGAGCTGAAGAGGAGTGAGATCTATAGAGTCCTAGCCATTTTACTTCATGAGTCAGTGAGGTGTGATTTTATTTAAATCCATATTATATGTACATCCTATCAAAAGGCATTTGCGGATCCAGCTGGCCAGAAGGGCCTTATCAGGTGTCCATGTGTGAAAGAGAGAGCTAAGAGTTAGTGGGGGTGTGTGAAGGAAAGTTTGAAGGTACATGCCAGGCTGATTGGAAAATCTTGTGCAAGGGGGAAGGTGGCCGCTGGGGTGAATGTGAAGCGAGGGAGTCTGGATTTTTTTCTTCTACCTTTTTCCCCCCCCCCATTTTAATGAGAGAGAGAGAGAGAGAGGTGCAGGGGGAGGGGGGGTGATGGAGATGATGAGGAGGTTGGGTTACAGATGGTGAGTTGTGAGAAAGGGTAGTCTCACATGGAGGGGAGGGGCTGGGAAGGGGGCAGGAGGGAGTTAAAGTGCAACTCTTCCCAAGGCATTCAAGAATTTTATGGAAAGGATAGGTTTTTCTATGTTTGAAGCACCCAATGGTAAATTTTTAAATTTAGTTTTGAGGGTATTTCCTTAACCCTTTGGCTGTTTGCCTGAGTATGTACTCAGGCTTATGCAGTGGTAGCATGAGAAAGTTCTCAGGCTCAGAACATTCATTGTTTCTAGGTTACTTCATAGCTATTTATGCATTAACAGCTATCTTCAATAGTTATCATGATATGAAATTATCTTACATAAACTATTGTTTTTAAAGAAGCAGGGCCAATTTTTATATGAAAACATATCAGCCACCCCCCCCTGTGTTATAACAGTCAAAAGGTTAATGTCTCCTGGCCTTTTAGGGTCGTTGAAGTAGTTAAGTGCTAGTTCAGAGTTGTGTTGGGGAAGAGGTGTTAGTCTGCTAATTCAATAGATATATGAGTTAGAATAATAAGTAGGAAGTCAAAAGGCATATCTGATTGCAGCTCATTCAACTCTTTCAAATGGGCTGAGGACTGCCTCGGGGCAGTTAGCCCAGACTGCAAAGGCGTATGTCAGTAGGTAATACTGTGTTCATAGGGGTTCTCATACAGAATATGAGCTTTGTTATTTCCTGGACTCCATGATCCTGTCTCGAATATGTGGATAACGAATGATGAATTGTCCAACTTTTTTTATTGCTATATAAAGAGACTAGATGAGTCATATGGTGAGGTACTAAACACTCCTCAAGAGTCAAGATAGTTAGTGACATCAAGAGGCGATTTCGCCCATTTCGATATCACGTGTCGAGGTCGAGCGTTCCTTAATTTTAGGGTAGGCCTAACCCTCTTAAAGCTAAATATTTTTGTATTTTTGTTTTTGTTTTTTGACTATCCTAGTTGTTTACTGTCTAGTACCTAACGTCAACATTACCCCCCACCTTTTTGCCTGTCCATGAAAACAGCTAGTTTCTTCTTAAAGATAGTCACAGAAGGGGCAGCCACTACTTCGTCATCTAACGCATTCCACGCGTTCACCACTCTGCAAGTAAAGAATTCCTGTCTCGACCTGAGCCGCACCTGCGGTTTGCGCAACTTAAGTCGGTTACCTCTCGTTCTCTTGCTGCCATCAAACTGGAAAAACCTACCACACTCGACATTATCTATTCCTTTAATTATCTTGAAAGCCTGGATGAGACCGCCCCTCCTTAACCTTCGTTCGAGCGAGTACAGTC